TCCCTATTGGAGTGCTTTTTATTTCCTTCTCTTCTCTGATCACATGGCTACAACTTTCAGTACTATATTGAATAGGAGCAAAGAAAGTGAACAGCCTTGTCTTATACCAGTTTTTAGTGGAAAAGTTTTCAGGTTTTTCCCATTCAGTATAATGCTAGCTGTAGGTTTTTGATAAACAGCTTTTATTATGCTGAGAAATAGCCCTTATATGCCAATTTTCCTGAGAGTCTTGATCATAAAGGCATGTTGTATTTTGTTGAATGCTTTTCCCAGATCGATTGAATTGATCATATGGTTTTTACATTTTTTTTCTGTTAATATGGTGTACTACAGGGACCAGCAGGTGGCATGTTGGTGAAGGCGCTGGTCACTCCCACATGGACAACCACGGATCAAGGCCTGGACCTGGTGGCTTGCTTTCTCACTTTCTCTCTCTCTCTGTCTCTCTTTGTGTCTGTGTTTCTCTGGTCAAATTAAAATGAATGAATGAATAAATAAAATTAAAAAAATATGGTGTATTACATTTATAGTTTTGCATATGTTGAACCACCCTTGAATCCCTGGAAAAAAGCCTACCTGGTAGTGATGAATAAGCTCTTTTATATGCTGTCAAATATAAAGTATCTTGTTGAGAATTTTTGCACCTATATTCATCATGGATATAGGTCTATAGTTTTCCTTTATTGTCATATCCTTATCCATTTGGAAATGAGGGTAATGGAGGCTTAATAGAATAAATTTGGAAAGCTTCCTTCCTTTTGTATCTTTAGAAGCAGTGTGAACAGATTGGGGGTTACCTCTTCTTTAAAAGCTTTGTCTGTCTTTTTATTTAAAATTTTTTAAGGTAAAGTATTTTCTTGGCTCTGAAATCTTCCTTTATCTTAGTAATAATCCCCTACTCCCCTCCGCCTCTTGTTTAGGTAAGCCAAAAATTGTAGGCCTTCAGAAGAAGACAGAGTCCACCAAGAAAGCTGAGATCTTGTGCTTTCAGGGATAAGAGAAATCAATATGTTCTGCTTAGAAGTCACCCTGAGGAGGCAAAAAACACAGGCCTTCAGAATAAGATTTAGTCCTGTATGAGAGCTGAGATCTAATGCTTTTAGTGAATAAGAGAAATGAAGATGTTCTGCTGAGAAGTCATCCTTGAGCAACAAAAGGGCAAGTCTTCAGAATAAGACAAATTCTGCCATGAGAGCTGAGATCTAGTGCTTTCAAAGATTAAGAGAAATGAAGGTGTTCTGCTGAGAATTCATCCTGGTAGAGTTTCCTCTATCTTTCTTTCTCTGGATCTTTCTGTCTCTCTGTCTCTTTTTATTTTTCTGAATTTTCTTTTTAAGAATTTTTTTTGTTTTGTTTTGTATTAGTTTGTTCTTTCTTTCTTTCTTTCTTTCTTTCTTTCTTTCTTTCTTTCTTTCATGTAAATAAAAATTATATAAAATTGAAAAAATAAAAAAACAACAAAATAAAACAACAAAGTTTTTATATACATTCAATCACATTGTTTACCTTACAAAGTGAACATTTAAATATGTGAACATTTCTCCCCAGTCCATTTGATCAAAATATCTTCAAATGATAACACCACACCTCCCCATCCCAGCAATGGTCTACCTCTGTATCCCTCCTCCAAATGTCTTTCCTTAGGCCTCACTCCTCCACACAAACCACATCTGGCATTCACACCCATTTCTTGTGTTTGTACAACTTTTAATCAATCAGTTTAAGCCATACAGTGGAGGCACTCGATATATATTAAGTGGAGATATACAATGTCTCTCCTTCATAGACTGACTTGCTTCACTCAGCAGTAACTCTTCCATATTCTTCCACTTTCTGTCAAAAACCAGCGTTTTTGCTTTCTGCCTTTGGACGCTGCCACGGAAGCATCGTTGAACTCTCTCTTCTCACTGCCGTCTTGTCTAAGTCCGTGTCTCCCAAAGAGCCCAAACAGCTGTGGAAACTCTTTATCAGAGAATTGAGATTTGAAACAACTGATGAAAGCCTGAGGAGCCATTTTGAGCAATGGGGAACGCTCACAGACTGCATGGTAATGAGAGATCCAAACACCAAGTGCTCCAGGGGCTTTGGGTTTGTCACGTATGCTACTGTGGAGGAGGTAGGTGCAGCCATGAATGCAAGGCCACACAAGGTCGATGGAAGAGCTGTCTCAAAGGAAAAAGAGAAGATTCTCAAAGACCGGGTGCCCACTTAACTGTGAAAAAGATATTTGTTGGTGGCATTAAAGAAGACACTGAAGAACACCACCTAAGAGATTATTTTGAACAGTATGGTAAAATTGAAGTGATTGAAATCATGACTGACCAAGGCAGTGGCAAGAAGAGGGGCCTTGCTTTTGTGACCTTTGATGATCATGACTCTGTGGATAAGATTGTCATTAAGAAATATCATACTGTGAATGGCTACAACTGTGAAGTACAGAAAGCCCTGTCCAAACAAGAAATGGCTAGTGCTTCCTCCAGCCCTAGAGGTTGAAGTGGTTCTGGAAACTTCGGTGGTGGTCGAAGAGGTGGTTTTGATGGTACTGACAACTTTGGTCATGGAGGAAACTTCAGGGGTTGTGGTGGCTTTGGTGGCAGCAGTGGTGGTGGTGGCAGATATGGTGGAAGTGGGGATGGCTATAATGGATTTGGTAATGATGGAAGCAATTTTGGAGGTGGCTATAATGATTTTGGCAATTACAACAATCAGTCTTTAAATTTTGGACCCATGAAGGGTGGCAACTTTGGAGGCAGAAGCTCTGGCCCTTATGGAGGTGGGGGTCAATACTTTGCCAAACCACAAAATCAAAGTGGCTATGGCAGTTCCGGCAGCAGCAGTAGCTATGGCAGTGGCAGAGACTTTGCCAAACCACGAAATCAAGGTGGCTATTGTGGTTCCAGCAACAGCAGTAGCTATGGCAGTAGCAGAAGGTTTTAATTAACTGCCAGGAAACAAAGCTTAGCAGGAGAGGAGAGCCAGAGAAGTGACAGGGAAGCTACAGGTTACAACAGATTTGTGAACTCAGCCAAGCACAGTGTTGGAAGGACCTAGGTGCTACAAAGAAGACATGTTTTAGACAATATTCATGTGTATGGGCAAAATATACGAGGACTGTATTTGTGACTAATTGTATAAAAGGTTATTTTAATTACTGTTCTGTGGAAAGTGTAAAGCATTCCAACAAAGGGTTTTAATGTAGATTTTTTTTTTTTGCACCCATGCTGTTGATTGCTAAATGTAATAGTCTGATCATGACACTGAATAAATGTGTCTTTTTTTTTAAAAAAAAAGAAAAGTATTACGATTTAGAGTAGGTAGTGCATTTGCATTTAGCTTAGAGAATACTGAAGTAGGAGGTATTTGTACAAAGAATTGATAGAGGAATATCTCATAAGAACAGATAAAGAGAAAGCTTCAGGAAGGAACAAGATAAGCACAAGCATAAAGGAAGGAAAGTACAGGGCCTATTTAGGGAAGATGGAAAGTAAGACTGTAAAGGTCACGGGGACTACAACGTCAATGGCCTTACCTGACAAGCTATCTGTATTAATTTAAAGATAAATGGGGAACTGTTCAAATAAACGGGATCAGAGCTGAACTTTAGGAATTTAAATCTGACATTTGTGAAAAATAATGGACTAAAATGAAAGTTCTGTCTCTTTTTAACCAATATATTGTAATAAATGAGCAAGAGAAAGTCAGTACAGTATAATAAATGAGCAAGAGAAAGGAAAAGTCTAGAGTGATGACAATAGTGGGAGACATGGCATAGATTTTTACGAAGATGGAATGTAAGGGATCCCAGGCATTCATTCTTTGAAGAAATATTTATTGAATGCTTATAATATGCCATGCACTGTAACTATATTTTGGACATACTGAATTTCAAGTGCTAGTGGCTCATTCGGATTTTTAATTTTTTGTTTGTTTGTTTGAACCAAATTTCAGGAGCCCTAGAGTTAATTTATTGGGCACTACACTATGCTCTCTCTTTTGGGCACCACACAAATTATATACTGAGTTCTTCAGCACTGGTGATGCAGTGGTAAACAAGGGAGTTAAATCCTTGCACTCATAAAATTTATATTCTACTGGGGGGATAAATATGCAAACAAATAGATAATTTCAGAAATAGATAATGGCATGAAGAAAATTTATATAGAGCAAGGGGGAAAACATCGGTGATCAGGGACAATCTAATGAAGAGCTATTTCAGTTAATGCCTAAAGGATGACGAGGTCATCTTAAGAAAATCTAAGGTAGAAGAATTATAGGCAAAGAGAATTGACAATGAATGCAAAGAATATGAGAAAGACACTCAAAGAAATAGTAACTAAACTGGAATGTATCACAAAAAAGTAGAAGACAAGTCAGAGACAAAGGAAGCATTCAGATTACGTAAGTACCTTTTCGATAGGGTAATAATTTTGAATTTTTTTTTTCAGTGGCAATGAAAATCCACTGGAGGGCCTTAAGCAGGTGAGTGATGTTTTATGCTGAGGGGAGAGCATTTCTACTGGTGTGCACGGAATGAATTTCAGTAGGATAAGAATGAGACCCGAAAGGGGACTGGTTACAAACATGCGATACTGCTAACTTGGAGTACAAGTGATAAAATGATGTTGCATTTGTCATAATCTGAATATAGAGCCTGCATGACTAGGACGTAGAGAAGTGAAAGAGAAGAATTCAGCAAAATCCCTAGGTTTGATGAGGGGTATATGCTACTCGCATGGGAAAGACCTCCACTCCTTATTTCAATTACAGCTGTTTCATTTTTACCAGTTCTATATACTGAGGTTCCATGTATAAGATTTTCTTTTAAAGGAGTCTGCTGCTAAAAAATAAGAGTATGAAAACTATTGGTCTACCAATTCAAGTATGAAGCTTAATAACATAATTGAGTCCAGAGCTATGTATTTGGGAAACATTATTATTTTTAAGAACTATTTATTTAATTTCATTATTATTCTTAAAATTTGCTATAGGGCATGCAGAGAGACAGAGAGAAAGAAAACAAGCCTTAAGGTCTAGGATTGAACTGTGGTCGGCCATGTGGAAGTCTGGTGCCTTAATCACCATGCCAAATGCTGGCCCCAGGAAACATTATTACGATGAAAGTTTAGGTAGGGTAGGATATATGTAATACTGTAAATAGAGGGGGAAATTCTGTGATATGGTTAGAAATATAAGAAATGATTACTGTTAGTGGGCAGGATAAGGGAATGGGAAAAACAAAGAAGCAAAGACAGGGCCACACAAGTCAGAGAAGACCTAGAAGAGAAACATATAAGAAAGGAAGAAAAATCATAAACCAAAGAGAAAAAATGACCATGGAGAAGAGGAAATTTTTGATTCAAGATAAAAAATGTACCACTAATCTTGAGAAGAGACACATGAGGTCAGGTCCAAATTAAAATAAATTCTAGGGCCAGCAGGTGGTACGGTGGTTAAGGTGCTGAATCTCACAGGGCCATTGTCACAGTTTTGAGTCCTGGGCTAGGTAGTTTGAAAAACACAATGGATGCATGTGCATGTGTGCCCAAAAATCCCAAGAGGAGACTAGATTGTGATGTGGTCGTCCTTTCTGGGGGTTGACCTCTCACTTTCCCTCTCTCTCTGGTCAATTAAATGATAATAATAAATAAATAAAATTAAATAGTTCTTTTTTAAAAAATTATTTAACTTTGTTATTATTTTTATTTTTGTTTTAATTTGACCAGAGACAACGGGGAACAGAAAGGGAAAGTGAGAAAGCAAGTCACCAGGTCCAGGACATGAACTATGGCTGGTCATGTGGGAGTCCAGAACCATAACTACCATGCCACCTGCCAGCCCCTAAATAAATAATTCTTTAAAAAAAAAATGGGAAGGAGAAAATAATCTCAGGACTCACCTGGTAGGCTTATGTGTCCCTTTAAAGGGCCAGCCAGTGTCAATGGTGTGGTTAAGGCAGCCTGACCCCACATGGCCAACTGTGTGGTTTGAGTTCCAGATCTGGTGGCTTGAGAAACATGCTGGGCACATGTGTGTGCATCCCCAAAATTCCAAGGGCAGAATGAAAGAGAAGGGATTGTGGTGTGGCCATCACCTCAGAGGATGGTTTCTCACTTTCTCTCACTCTCTCTCTCTCTCTTTATCCAACAAGTATATATGCCCTATAGCAAATTAAAAATTAAAAAAAAAATTTTAAACCTACAACAAATAATTTAAAGACAGAAAGAATATAAGTAATAGAACAAGATGCAAGAAGAAACAGAAAGGATTTGGGATTGTAGAGTTGGCAAGAAATGGGGATACAACATAATACAAAGGATGAAAAAAAGAATGAATGCTTCCTTTGGTCCTAGAAATTATAGCAGCAACGACAAAGGTAAGGTTGATTTTTCAGATCTAAGGAGGGAAATAATCCATTATCTATTTATTACAACATTAAGACCAGCTCTCAAATCTACTAGCATGGGCTTTCTAAATATACATCCTACCTAGGTAGGCTGGATGCTAACATAGAATGGCAAAGATATTAAGAGTTTAGGAAATTTCGACACTGCAAGGAAGGTCATTTTCTTTCAGCTTTATAGAGGTGAGGAACCTGAAGTTCAAGCAGTTAAACAATCTACCTAAATCAATCAAACAGTTGCCATGGTGTCTGAATGTTTGTGTTCCCCCCAAAATTATATGTTGAAATTCCATATGAATATCCCAACGTTATGGTATGAAGAGATGGAGCCTTTTGGGAAGAGATTAAGCCATGTAAGCAGGGCCCTCAAAAATAGGATTAATACCTTATAAAAGAGGCCAGAGAGAGCTTGTTTGCCCCTCTTACCATGTGGAGACACAGTGAAAAGGAACCACCTATGAATCAGGAAACGGACCCTCACCAAACACTGAATCTACTGGCATCTTGATCTTTCCAGTCTCCAGAACCGAAAATAAATGTCTGCTGTGTATAAGCCACCCAGTCTAGGGTCTTTTGTTCTGGCAGCCCTTATGGACAGAGACAATGGCACAGCCAGAACAGAACACACTTCCGAGCCCATGCTCGCTATACCTCACACCACACAAGAGTAGCACATTTGTAGGACAGGTGTGTAAAAATGCAGTATATGTGAAAGAAAGCTATAAATATTAATAAAAAACATATTTTGAAATAAAACCAGTCTACTATTAGAGGCAAAGTTCTGAATAGTGATGTTACAGATGTTTTTATTCTTTTCAAACCTCCAATACAAAAATTTTTAATATTACTTCATTGTAATTAAATCTCTACTGTTTTATTTTATTATTTTTAAAAGAATTACTTATTTTATTTATTATTATTATTCAGTTTGACCAGAGAAAGAGAGAGAGATAGAGAAAGGGAAAGTGAGAAAGCAAGCCGCCATGTCTGGGACTTGAACCACAGTCGGCCATGTGGGAATCTAGTACCTTAACCATCACACCACCTGCCAGTTAGTTCCTCTACAAAAATATGAACTTTTTTTGGTGGTGTTGTTAGAGGGTGTGTGTGCTTGCAAGAGAGAGAGAGACAGAAAGAAAGTGGAAGAGGAAGTGGAGACAGCACTACCCCACAGGGAATAGTCATACTTCATCTCTCCCTTCTTTTGGGATTTTGGGCATGTATGCACACATGCCTAGTGTTTTCTTTTAAGCCATTGGGTCCAAAACTTGAATCATGCAGTTAACCATATGGGATCTGGCTGCCTTACCCATTAGGTCACAGAGCAGGCCCAAACCATTATATTTATTTTATTATTTTTAAAAGAATTACTTATTTTATTTATTATTATTATTCAGTTTGACCAGAGAGAGAGAGAGAGAGAGATAGAGAAAGGGAAAGTGAGAAAGCAAGCCGCCAGGTCTGGGACTTGAACCACAGTCGGCCATGTGGGAATCTAGTACCTTAACCATCACACCACCTGCCAATGGCTTAAAAA